ACACACACACACACACACACACACACAGACACACACACACACACACACACACACACACACAAATATATTTGGTTTTGACCTTTTCTTTGAGTATACTATTCATGTGCTTTGCCTTCCAGGCCTACTATTTTCTCTTCTACTTGACCAAGTTTGCTGTTGAGGCTTTCCTCTCATTTTTTTGGGGTTTGAATTCCTGACCTTTATATTTAGAGTTTTATTTCATTTTGACCCTTATTTAGAGATTCTATCACTTTACTAAATTCTATATTCTTGTGCACTCTGATTTTTTTTTGCCTTCTAGCCAGCTCCCAAATAACCACAGGGAGACTTCTTACTAATTATGAAAGCTTGGCTGATGGCTTAGGCTTGTTTCTAACTAGTTATTATAACTTAAATTAGCCCATATTTTTATTAATCTACATTCTTCCATGTGGATTTTACCTCTATCCTATTTTGTGTGTCTGATTTGTTCTGCTTCTGTCTGGCTTCTTTGTCCTTCTTCCCAGCATTCTCTGCCCTTAAAATCCTGCCAAGCTATTGGCCATTTAGCTTTTTATTAAACCAATCACAGTGATATATTTTCATAGGGTATAAAGGAATATTTCACAACATTTATGTTTCTTGAATTGTTTTCTTTCTTTTTTTAGTGCAGTGGTTCTCAACCTTTCTTTTTAGTTTATTTTATAATTAATTAAATTTATATATCATCCATGGATTCCCCAATTCTCCCCCCATTCCCACTTCCTCCAAGGCAAGGTCTCCCCTGGGGATTCAGCTCGGCCTGGTAGATTCAGTTGAGGCAGGTCCAGTCCCCTCTTCCCTTCACCTAGACTGAGCAAAGTGTTTTAGTATAGGCCCTAGGTTCCAGAAAGCCAGCTCATGCACTAAGGACAGGTCCTGGTTCCACTGCCTGGGGGGCCTCCTAAGTGGTTCAAGCTAATCAACTGTCTCACTTATCCAGAGGGCCTGACCCAGTTCCATGGGGGCTCCTCAGCTATTGGTTCGTAGTTCATGTGTTTCCACTATTTTGGCTATTTGTCCCTGTGCTTTTTCCAATCATGGTCTCAGTATCTCTTGCTCATATAGTCCCTCCTCTCTCTCACCGATTGAACTCCTGGAGCTTCACCTGGGGCTTGGCCATGGATCTCTGCACCTGCTTCCATCAGTCACTGGATGAATTGTTTTCATTATTTCATTCAACTGTTGTGTTTTGTTGTCTTCATTCTGGCATTCTATTTCAAAATCATTGTCTTCATACATCATCTAAGTCACCTTCTCTAGAAACAATACTGTGGAAGTACGAAATTTTTGTAGACACCTATTATCTTCATTATTCATATTTATGTTTTGGAGATTGGACCTAGCCATCTGAAGATAGGTTTTTGGTAGTGTATCGTGGTATGGAATTTTTTCTCTCCTTTATTAAGTTGGTATTGGGTCTGTTTCCTATTACCCTCAGTTGTCAGGCTGTTGACATGGTGAATGGGCCTTAGATTTTAGTCTTAAGACAAATCAGTATTGATTTTTGAATGTGGTATGGAAAGTAGTCACAACTCAACTCCAGCCAGGTGAAGTTTCTAACTCCAGAATCAGACCTTCTGTAGAGTCAGAGTCTCACAAGTAGTCTTCAGGAGTCCAGAGAAGGTACTCTGGACTTTTCCTCAGGCAGTGGGAATCAGTGTAGTTGGTGATGTGAATCTAGGGTCCCAACCTGGGGAGGGGCAGTTGGAAGTTGGGCTGAGTTTTGCAGAGGAGTTGGCAGTGTAAGTCTAGGCTCCATACATAGGAAGTGGAGGCTGGAGGCATTTGCCTGGAGGCAAGTAGGAGACATGTGTTACTTAGGCAGATTGCAAGGGTAGGCTGGGTAGACAATGTGAGTTTAGGGTTCTGAACTAGAGAAGGTGAGTGGAGGCCTGCCTGAAGAGATGAATGAAGTTGATGGCATAAGTCTAGTATCTATGCCTGGAGAGGAATTGCCCTCAGGCCACGAGATGGCTGTGGTTAGAGGGGGAGAGTCAAGGGTTCCAGTCTAGAGATCGAGCTCAGGTTGGTGGTGAGTCTGTGGTCCCTACCTAAGGGGGAAGGGCTGGAAGGAGAGTCTGAAGGCAGGTACAGGACAGGTGGTCCTCAGGAAAGTGGAAGGCATAGGTGGTTTATCCAGCCTTTTCTTGAGTTTTGCCTGCTTGTGATTATTGAAATTAAGTGAGATAAAATTCTTCACTATAGTTGTGCGTTTTGTATTCGTTTTCCATTTTCTCCTACTTCTGACACCCCTTCAAAGCATACATCCCGAGGCTGTGTTTTTAAATGCAGAGAAATTTAGAATTATTTTCCATCTAATTAAACTAAAACACTTATCATTATGAAGTTCCTCTGTTTAGCTCTGCCTATTGTTAGACTTGATGTTTGCTCAGACTATGTCAGTGGAGTTTAGTAGCTTTCTTTTGGCTAATGTTTCCATGACCTACCTGGGCTCATCATTTATTTTCAAATTTATTGAATCCTTTTGTTTTAGGTTTATTATTATTATCACTATTGTTATTATACAAGGAACAGACAATGGCATACTTAAAAATATGATATGAAAACATTTTATTACCAACTGAAAAAAATTTTCATTTACTGTAGTTGTTAAATTTGGATGGAAATGCATCATCTTCCTATCCTTTCTATTTGTCCTAGCTATTCTATAATCCTCTTATTCTTGTCTTCTTTTTATTTATTTATTTTTTAAAATAAATTAGCACATGGTTATCAGTTAAATTACAAAGCCTGATGTGGTGGTTTAAAAGAAAATGGTCCCCAATGGGACTGGCACTATTAGGAAGTGTACTTGTTGGAGTGGGTGTGGCCTACTTGGAGGAAGTGTGTCACTGTGGAGGTGGGCTTTGAGGTTTCATATTTGCTCAAGCCACACCCATGTCTCAGACCACTTCCTGTTGCCTGGACAAGATGCAGAAGTCTCAGCTACTTCAGTACCACGTTTGCCTGCACACTGTCATGTCCTACCATAACGATAATGGACTAAACCTCTGAATTGTAAGTCACCCAATTAAATATTTTCCTTTCTAAGAGTTGCTATGGTCATGGTATCTCTTCACAGCAATAGAAACCCTAACTAAGACACTTTCTAAGGGGTAACCTGCATTCCTGTATTCATTGCAGCCAAGATGTATAATCAAACAATGAATTCATTGACGTAGAGATGGATTAAAAAGTTAGGGTTTTCTACACCTTAAAGAGAATGGAATCCTGTTATTAGCAAAAACACAGGGAGTCTAGAAAATACTGAGTTAAGTGAAATAAACCAGGCACAGAAAAGCAAATGTCTCATTATTTCACTTGTAAAAGAAAATATTGGCTACCCAAGGCTGAGGAGATGCCAGGGTGTGGGGCTGGATGGGGAACAGGAGAAGTGCAAGGATTTTCTCCTTCCACTCCCTCTCCTGCTCTTTCTCTCTTTCAGACAAGGATGGCCTTCAGCTCTATGTAGATGAGGATGGCTTTGAATCCTGATCTTCCTGCCTCTATCTGCCACATGCTGCGTTTGCAGTATCTGCCACTGTGTCAAGCATTATCTTCTTTTAATCTGGAAGTTATGTATTGCTTCTGTTCTTTCAGCAATTATCCTGAAACTGTTGCTAGAGAACTTCTCTCCAGGTCCCACCAAGCCCCGTAGTCCCACAACCCACGTATAAAATAATCACTTGGACGCTTATATTACTTATAAACTGTATGGCCATGGCAGGCTTCTTGCTAACTGTTTTTATATACCCATTTTTATAAATCTATAACTTGCCATGTGGCTTGTGGCTTACCGGCATCTTTACATGCTGCTCGTCCTGGCGGTGGCTGTTAGTGTCTCCCCCTCCTTCTTCCTGTTTCCCCAATTTTCCTCTCTCCTTGTCCCGCCTATACTTCCTGCCTGGTCACTGGCCAATCAGTGTTTTATTTATATAGAGCGATATCCACAGTATGAAACCTTTTATATATTCTTGATCATATCTTGATATATCAATGTGTAATCCCAATCTACATTCTATGTTCATTTAAAGTAATTCAAGGAACTTGAAATACTTTCATTATATTTAATCACCTTTAGGTTCATATGCAATTGTGTTCAGAACTTTGGGTTACCCCCTGGCACCTTTTTTTGGGAGTCTCTGAGAAGACTCCCCTTAATTTAAACATTCTGTAAGGATGGAACTGCATGTTGAAATGTTAACTATTCCAGCCCTATTGTGAATAATCAATTCTTAAATGAGGCATAGCTGTTTCATATTTCCCCAAGCAAGAAGTTTGGCAGCTTGGTAAGGGCCATCTCCTTTTACAGGAATGAAGGTTGCCAAGCTGTAGGGACTGTTGATAGAATTGCATACACAATGAGCTATATTCAAATGATGATTGGAACGGAACAAAACAATACACAAACCCACACTCAGGCTGTCAGCAACAGGTCTGTGGTCAGTCTGAAATGTCAACTAAAACACAAGATTAGAATCACTTTATTTCCTGACAAAAGAATATTTTTCTTTTTCCTATTTTCTCATCAAATGGAGGCCTACAGCCCTTTTAAATCCACACTGTGAATATAGAAGGAGGAGACAAGGTCATTTCTGAATGTTTCTATGCAGACTTGTCTGAATGAGACTGGGAAGAAACCTGAGATGTATGTTAGACTAGTTCAAAGGTTCTTTATTCTCATGATTATCACAGTGGAAAGTCAGTCATAAGGTATTAATGCTTTGGGGTAGGGGCAGGGTGGCCTGCGGGAGCTGTTCCTTGATGAAATTAAACCTCAATTAAATTGTGCTGCAAATATGCCCTGAAAGAAGGGAGTCTTTAACCATGTTGCATTTAGTTCAGTAAAGCAGAGACATTTTCTATAATGTGAGTGAATACATTAAACACAGCAACTCTGTTAACCTAAACCTTTTCCTATCCCTGAAGCTGTGCAATACTGTATCCACACACTTCTTGACATCTTGGTGTGGAAAGTAGGCCCTTTCATTTTACACACCACCATGTTGTCTTTTCTAGTCCCATCTGTAGCATCAAAGGCTACAGATAGCAGCAACATTGTAGCTTCCGTTCTAATTTTCTACACAAGATTACACTCTTTCCTAGTTGGGTTGTTATATTAGTTTCTGAGTTTTTGTGGTAGGGAGAAAAGTTATATCTCTAAAAGGCAAATGACTAAACCTTGAGTCACTAAAGTGTTGGTCTTCAAAGGGGAGAATCCTAGCAGCACTCTCTGCAGGGCTAATTTAATCCATCACAGTCTGCAAACCACAACATCCTCTGCTCCAGTGTTATTTTGGCCCCATGTTACAGATAGACAAGTGATGCCCAGGGACAGGAGATGATTCATCCAAGGTCATAAGACTAATGACTACCCTGCTTAAACTATTTTCCAAGTTTGGAAAGTAATGTCAGTGAAGATTTCAGACCCTGTATCAGTGTAAAGCAAGTTCTCCATAAATGGCAGCTTCCTACAAAAATCTGCCCCATTATTTTTCCAGCCTCCTCTGGGGATCAGAGATACATCCTCCCAACAGTCCACAGACGGCACGCTGGCCCTCACTGCACTCTCTCTTTAACTTTAAGGATGGATTGATGGATGGTAGACATGGGACACGTCCTGCAGACCAGAACCTGACAGAGATGGAGAACATCTATCAGAAGCCCGGGCCTCCTGTTCTGCTCGCTAGGACCCCTGCCAGATCCGGCTTGTTAATTGGATCCTGTGCAGGCAGCTATTCCAGCAGCAGATCTGTGAGTCTTCTGTGGCACATCTTGATTTAAAGGGAAATGTTGAAAAGCACTTCTCAGCCACTCACAGCTCCTGTTCGCTCACGTTTAGCTGATTGGAGGGAGAGTAAGTGGCCTCCAAAACTGTTGCGCGGACAGAGAGGTAAATTATTCTGTCTCCTCAAACTTAGGGAATAATTTTTTTTTGAGAGACAGTTGGTAAAGTGTCTGATTTCTGCCTAAAAAGATGCTTTCCCTAAAGTCAGAGGGAATTGAAAAAGAAATTTGTGGGGAAATTGCCACCACGACCTGAAGCAGGCAGTCTTTGAGCCGATACAATAATGAGGAATAAGGTGTTGTTAAAATAGACCGAGCATATTAATGACTGCACCCAGCAGTCAGCCGAAAGGACAAGAAAAGGTTTAAACTCTGGAAGGGAGGATTTTTCCAAGGAGATTTCAATGTCAAAGACTGTATGAGGAGCTAAATATAGGAATGCTCACACGCGTCACAGGGCCGTGGGTGGAGACGTATACACAGTCAAATGATGCCATTTCCACTTCTGGCAAAATCTGAAGAAAAAAATTGACTAGAAAACATTTAGTCATATTTCATTTGAATTATACTTATAAATACTGAATTGCAGACCTGTCAAAATAAGTGCGACCAGCACTTCCTCGCAGAGGTACCAGACAGACTGAGGCTACAGCACACGGACAGCAAAGAGCTTACAAGAACATCATGTTGGGAAGGCCATAGAGCTAAGCTCCCAGGTGAAGAGGTGTCTGAGAGTGAAGCTGGGCAGAAATGTCCCCGAGGTGTGTGGAATGGAGCTCAGAGTGGCTTGGATGTTGACTACAGGGAGGGAACGAGCCTTAGCATGGCCTCAAAGAGCTGTGAGTTCCAGGTCTCAGTTCTCTCTGGGATTCACAGTCAAGGATCTGTCACTATTTGGTGTGATCTTTCTGCTAGGAGAGAATGTGCCTGGTGACCTTGCTCAGCAGGAAGCTATATTGTCCCTTTCAGAAATCACATTGCAATGGCCTTGGGAGCTTGTTCCTGCCAACACCTCTTCCTGCACACAGAGGATGTGTACAGTACCAGGGTCTAGAAATGAATTTCTTGGCATTTCAGGGGCAAATATCTCATCTACCCTCACCAAATTTCCAATACAAAACTGCTGGGAAGCTGTCTCCTCTTTGTTAAGTCTTGTATTTACTTTCAATCTTGTAATCAGATGACTCAGGGAGAGGCCTTCGAGCTCTTTCTGCTTGTCTGCGTCATCAGTTCACAAGAGGCTGAGCTGTGGGAAGGAGGGCTGGGAAAAATTAGGAAGAGAGAACTGTCTTCCCTAGCTGACATGAAGAGGTGATGGGTTCATGTTGGCTAGTGCTCGCATTGCCGCTGGCATGCCCTCACTGGGAAGTTTGCCGCATGCATCAGCTAGGTGACACAGGACTGGGACAGGGGTGGCTCAAGCTTCATGCACATCCACTGACTGGTGATGGAGACCCAGGAGGACTGAATGAGCTCAGCCTAGCATGGTTGCTTCAGGATTTAGATGAATTCCTGCTTGGAGAGAATCTGCATCTCTTGCCTCTCGCTTCTCTCTCGGTATGTCATTCTGGAGTCCTGTGACCTCTGCTCCCTAGAGAAGGTCAGAATAAAGAAGCAAAGGGATATGATTTAGGCTGACGCACAAGCAGCATAAATGCTAAGAGAAAATAGTTGAGAAAGGTCACTAAAGATCAGACACCTATTAAGCTGTAACAACCGAACCTCCTCCTCCACCACCTGTCATTACAGCCCCGTGGACAGACACATCATTGCCAAGGAGACTCTGCTCTTTGCCCCACTTTCACATATAGAAAGGAGGCTTACGGATGTTCACAGCCCAAGTTCACACATGACGTTCTAGAAGCAGGATCTGAACCTCAGCTGCTGCCATTAAGCAAAGCCTTAAACCAGTGGTTCCCAACCTGTGGGTCATGACCCCCTTGGGAGTCTCATATCAGATATTTACATTATGATTCATAACAGCAGCAAAATTACAGTTATGAAGCAGCAACAACCTAAGTTTATGGTTGGGGGTCACCACCACATGAGGAACTGTATTAAAGAGTCACAGCATTAGGAAGGTTGAGACCCACTGCCTTAAACCATCCTATTATGATTCTCTGTGCTATGAGTTTCTCGATTTGCTCCATATCTGATGAGAACAGATGAAAAACAGCAGAATGACAGTAGTTGTCAGGGGATTACATTTCAGCTCAGCTACTAATGATCAGTATAACCTCAGCAATGTCACTCAGTCTTGCAAGCCTTACTTTGTAAAGCCACCTCTGAAGTAGTGAAAATGTCCCATATCATATTCCCAGTAGGCTTACACTGAGGCAGTTCATGTGGGGAAGGGCCATCAAAATCAAGGGCCTCCATATGTATACCACTGCCATGGCCTGAACCTTGGATTGAATTCATCAAACTAGTGGGGACTTCCTAACCATTTCGTCCATGAAATGGGAGTTGTGTAGCCCGCTGATGAGCTTTGGGAAGCAAGTGAGAATCAGGGTCTAGATGTAGAAACCGGTGGTGTGTCAGGCACCAATGAGAACACAGCTTACTTGCAGGGGAAGCAGATGGAGCTGCTGAAGATGCAGTAGATGAGGGGGTTGATGGCGCTGTTCAGGGCTGGCAGGTTCTGGATGATCACAGAGGCATAGAAACGCTCCTTGGTGTCTGGAAGGAGGTTGAAATTGTCCAACATGTCAAAGAGGAAGTATGGGCTCCAGCAGCAGATGAAAGCTAGGGAGAAGAGAACCATTAGCACCATCGTGGCCACACCTGAAGCATCATTCTTGGTTGATCATGACTGGAATTTTAACTGGCATGTTCTTTGGCACTTAGAGCTCTCTCAGAAATACTGGCCTGGGTATGCTGTTGTGAACAGTTTGGTGTGTTTGGAACATGCTTGCTTAAATATGTGTATGGCTATGCACATGTCTCAGGGACAACATTCCTAAGCTGAGATTTCCTGGATCCCCTCTGTCTGGAAAGGTGGCTCTGATTTCTGCTGGTGTAGACTTATTGCAGAAAATCTGGGATCTGACAGAAACAGCCAGGGCCTCCCATCCATCACAGTGCTGAAGGAAAATGAGAAAGACTCTTTAGAGATCCCCTGCCACAGACAAAACAGGATGAAGTCTGACCATATTGATCACTAGTTCTAGGACATACAGCAGATAAAATGTTGCTGATATTTTTAAAGCATGAACCATAAATGAGATCATTATGATCTCAAGTTTCTTTTCTATGTCTAAGTTAACCTCTCCCCAAATCACTCACCCAATACTCTTGTCCAGATCAACTGTATGTGAGTTCAATGCCTCAAAGAATAGAAATGGAATATGAGAATGTCTGTTGTGTGATTGATTTATGTGTCAACTTGACAGGGATCCAAGGTTCCCAGACATTTGATTAAATATTACTCTAGATGTGTCCGTGAGGATGTTTCTGAGAGAGATTTTGCCTTCTGCTGGTGAACAGGCCTCATATGATCTATTGAAGGTACAAATATAATAAGAAGGACCTATGAGAATTTCTTCTCTCTGCTTGGTTCTCTTTGAGAACCAAGTGTGGAATACTGGCCAACATTTGGAGTTAAACAAGAACATAGAGTCAACTTTATTCTTGAAACTTTGGGTTCAGACCTGGACTTGAATTCACATTAGTTGCTATCCCAAGTTTCCCACCTCACCATGGAGCTTGAGATTTCTTGGCCTTCATGAGCCCATGAAGAAAAATCTTACAGAAAACATCTATCTATCTATCTATCTATCTATCTATCTATCTATCTATCTATCTATCTATCTATCTATCTATCTAATCTACCTGTCATCTATCTATCTATCTATCTATCTATCTATCTATCTATCTATCTATCTATCTATCTATCTATCTATCTATCTATCTATCTGTCTGTCTATGTATATCTATCTATCTATCTATCTATCTATCTATCTATCTATCTATCTATCTATCTATCTAATCTACCTGTCATCTATCTATCTATCTA